CACTACACTACACTACACTACATCACACAACACCACACTACCACACACTATATTACACTACACTACACTACATCACACAACACCACACTACACTACATTGCGCTTACATCACACCACACTACACTTACACCACACTACACTACACTACACTACACTACATTGCACTTACACCACACCACACCACACCACAACACACTACACTTACACCACACTACACTACACTACACTACACTACACTACACTACACTACACTACATCACACCACACCCCACCACAACCACAACACACTACACTACACCACACCACAGCACCACGCCAAACCATATCGCACCACATCAAACCATATCACACCACACTTCACCATGTAACTAAACCATATCACACCACACCATACTGAGACAGACATTGCAAAGCGCAAGTTCTTGTCCAAACATTTACCAGATATTGGTAGATCTCTTGGCCAGGTAGAACCAATAGCCAGGAGAACTGCATCATTATCATCCATCAGTTCTTTGGTACCAAGTGTCTTTCCTACATCAGTATTCGTGATGAATTTGATACCTTCTGCGGCCATAAGATCAAGGCGACGCTGGACGATCTGGTGAAGGAAGAGCCACATCATAAAATCTGTCCTTTAAAGGCTTTAAATCATGACGTGATGGCAGCCATGACAGCAGGTACGACAAAAATACAGTCCTTTTCCCCTGAACCCCTGGGAAACTTAATTTTTAATAATATATTAATTATAACCACATCAAAAGTGTGGTTTTCAGGGAGGTCCTCCTTAAATAAAAGAAATAAACTAAATTCATAAAATGCAAAATACAAAATTAAATAAGCTAAAAATATTGTTAAAATATTACACCATGAACACTTTACTACACTTTTCTCATGAAATGCACAATACAAGCGCTTTGAAATACAAGCCCTAAGGACGGCTGCGTAGGAGTCGCTAACCCAATACGACAGAGAATTCGACACTGGAGTATTTCAGTCTTATAATTCACGTCGAGAATGAAAAATAACTCACATCTTTGTCCAGTTTCATGGAAGGAATCCCGTACATAAGTAATCCGCCGCACCTGTCGTTCCGTTCGTACACGGTAACCTGATGACCAGCCTAGTAATACGCATACAACAGAGAATGATTAGTGTGAATATGACGTCATTATCCGCTCACTGCACTTGACGTAATTATCCGCTCACTGCATGTGACGTCATTATCCACTCACTGCATGTGACGTCTTTTTAACCGAAAACATCATTAATCACGAATGCGTAAAATTTGCGACGCTATTTCTTTATTGTCAGAAGCCTTGTATATGACGTATATGACAGCACCATTTATAGACACGTGACATCATAAGTGTCATCTTGTTTGTGGCATCATACCCGTATATATTGTGGGGAATAGAAAATTGTGCACTCTTACGGCATGACGTCATTGCCTGATGATTTTTAATTGGTTTTTGACAATCTGTTGCTATGGTTACCTTGTTAAGCTGTGACGCAGCTGCCAGACCGGCAGGGCCGCTTCCTATGACTGCGATCTTCTTGCCTGTTCGTTTGAGAGGGATCTGACGCAGGATGTAAAAAATATATAAAAATATTTTACAACCACCATTCCCCGTACGGTGCTCAGCTCTTCCGTGAGGTTCCCTCCACACTCACTATCACTACATTCCATATTTACGACATAAACACTCAACTCACATTTGAGCGGCAAACCATTACGCCACCCATGCCACATAAAGACTTGCCTATAAATGATAACCAACGTAAGGTTGGATTTGCTTCTACTGGTCAACTTTAACAACCCTGGATTTCAGAGGCTCTCTCGCTCCAGTGCTTCCCGGTCGGTAGGTTCCGAGAAGCACTGGACGAGCGTCTGTGAAAGCTAAGCTTGCATTTGTTTTAGCCGATAGTAAAACAGTGTCAGTTTGATCCCTAGAGCACTTCTTATTTTGGCAAGGACCACGAGGAATCCGGGAATGAGGAATGAGAATAATTCCAGCCACGTTTTTTGTTTATTACCTGTGGTTTGATCCATCCCATCTTAAAACCATGGTCAATGATAGTACATTCAATTTTCTTGATCGTTACTGGTTTAGCGTTGATACTCAGTACGCATGCGCCCTGAAATATACATAAACGATTGACGTCAGAGGTTTTAAAATACGAAACCGCGTAGTTTTGGTCAGCGGTAAGGAATCGTTTTAAGTGTGCGCAGGAAGGGAATGAAATAAAAGATCTATCAATATAGATCGCAGAGCCGCGTCTGGGTGGGAGATTGGTGCTTAGTCTTACCTCACAGGGAGCAGGACAAACTCTTCCAGTGAATTCTGGGAAGTTATTTGTGAGAAGGAGACGTTCGAGTGCTTTCTGCCATTCATCCTGAAAAGGAAATAAGAAGTTCTTCATTTTTTTTCGTGGCGCGAAAACTTCACGGTAAACGAGAAACGTTAAGTAACATAATGGACAGCACTAAGACAGCACAGGTATCCCACGGATGAAGTCTGCCTTACATTACCACAGGTATCCCATATACATAAAATCTAAAAATATTGACGCATCATACCTGAAAGACAAGGTCGTTCCATTTGGGGATGACGTTACCCAGAGGACAGCCTGAATTGGACTGACAGAACGGTACACCGCAGTCCATACATCGAGCAGCTTGTACCTTCAGATCTTGTTTCTTATCACTGTAGATCTCCTTCCAGTCCTTGATGCGCTCCTTGGCGGGACGGTAAGGGTTACCACTGCGGGCATACTTTACGAAACCCCTGTGATTGCCAACAGTGACATAAAAACATCAATAAAAATCTCGAAAACATTGTGAAAACATCGATAAAAAATTGATAAAGCATTGATAAATAATCACGAAAACATCGGTAAAACATCACGAAAATATCTAAAAAACAGCGATAAAAATATCGATAAAACATCGCGATAACAATGAAAAAAACAAAAAAAAAACAAAACAAAACGAAATGAAACAAAACAAAACGAAACGAAACAAAACAAAACAAAACGAAACAAAAAAAATAGCCTGCGTTGCTTTGCGGTCCGCGGTTGCTGCTGTTTTTTTTGTTAGAAGTGGAAACAACCGCAGACCACGGAGTAGCGCAGACTAAATTCTAGTAGAGGTGGCATCTCCTTTCAAGAATCCAATAAAACAAAGCAAGAGATATATACCAGGACCCACCTTCTCTTATCTAAGACTCTTTCGATAATCTTTTGTTCCATGCACGAGTCAGGAATGGCTGACTCGATGTCTACGATGGCTGCGTCGTTGCGTTTTTTGACGGTGGGAGGAGAATATTCTTTCTTTTCTTCTTCTTTACTCACTTTTTTCTCTATTTCCTCTTTCTATGCGAAAAAGAAATAAGTTTAAATAACACAACCATATTTGCTTAACGAAATGAAATATGGTCTGAAATGGGAAAATATTAAGCCTAATGTTTAAGAAAGAAATAATACTCAAGAGAATAACGCGTGGTTTGAAATGGGGAACGTTACACCCAAAATTAAATAAGAAATAATACTCAAGGGATGAAAACGTGATCTGAAATGGGGAAACGTAAGGCTCAAAATTAAAGAAAGTATTTATACTCAAGGGATAACACGCGGTCTCGAAGGGGAAAAAACGATAGGTGGCCAGAGATATAGACCTTGAAGTATTGTTCTGTTATATTGTTGTATTTGATTCATTGATACTTTTCTTGTCTATCTTCAAAGGTGACCCATACTGACCTCTGCTTCCTCCTCTTGTTTCATTTTCTCTAGAGCTTCTCTGAAACCTTTGGGCATAACCTACATCGACGACCGCAAAACACATTTAGCTTTACTTTCTATTACCTTATCGTACTCATACTTACACTAACCGGGCTACCTGTGGTGGATCGACCGTTTGTCTTACCACAGGTAGCCCAAGTTCTGTATTCGCCATGTTTCTTCACATGAGAATAAAAAAATATTTAAAGATAAAACATAACCTCATYATATCTTGAAGCGCTTAAATGCGAGGCCACGCGGGGAAAATCTTTTATTCAACCCAAGAAAGCTGCCACATGAGAAAGGTTCATGTACATGGGCCTCCTGTGGTATCTTTGCCATTTTAACGCATTTTTTGTCTTTCTCTCTCTCTAGCTATAAAAACAAACAGGGTTGATCTTCACGAGATACCTTGGTAAATAGTTGAACAGAGGCATCCCAGTCTGCCAGGAGATGCTTAGCGATGGAAGACTTGGTGTAGTCAACGTGTTGCTGTAGCAACGGCTTCAACATGTCTACGTCATTTCCGGTAACGTTTTCTAAGTCTACAGACTCGTGGTTGCACCTTTGAGCAAATGTTCTGTCCCTGGATAGAGAAGGGAGAAAAACAGGTCACTGGGCAAAATGGTGGTATAGACGTACCCCTTTCAGCACGTCGGAATGCAGCTCAATTTGGGGGACAGTAATTGTAGTAAGGTCCGTGTTGTCGTGGTACGTTGTTGTCGTAGTAAGGTGTGTCGTGGTAAGGTGTCGTGTTGTACTAATAGAATTTTTTAAATTTTATTAATTAGTTATTGTTATTATTATTTATTATTATTATTATTTTGTTATGGTGTAAAGGTGTGCTCTCGTGTTATAGGGTTATTTGTGGTGGTAAAGAGTTGAGATGTGGTGTGATATAATGTAGTAAGGTGCTGTAGGTGTTGTGGTAAGGTGTATATTATGTTCGTACCTATCAAGGACAAACGCGACTCCACCAGACATGCCTGCTGCAAAGTTTCTTCCAGTTGGTCCAAGAACAACGACCACGCCTCCCGTCATGTACTCACAACAGTGGTCACCAACGCCCTAGAACACACAAACAACAACACTCCTTAGTCACACTCAGCCAATAAAAGCTTTGCACCCTCACGTGATGGCAGCCATGACAGGAGGCACATTAATAGAGTCTTTTTCCCATGGAAACTGTTTCTAATGTAAGTTAGACTAGACCAGTTTAATTGTTCCTGATTCCTGTCATGGCTGCCATCACGTGACGCTGCAAAGCCTCTATTTTATGTTTGTTTGACAGAGACCAAGTCATCGGATAACAGGTATCATGCTTGCTGTATCTGGATTTTGACGGTATATTTGTTAAAAGTGATCACAGGAAGCAGAGTAATCAGTGTTAAGGACATGAGAATGAAGGGTACTATCGTAAGGAAAGAAGAAAGAAGAGGACTTGATGTCTTACCTCACAGACTGCAACCACACCCGAGTTCCTCACACAAAATCGTTCTGCGGTTATTCCCCTTATAAAAGCCTTGATGAAAGAAAACATTTGAGTGAATAAGTGAATGAACAATGAATGAATCATGTGAATTTATAACTTTTTTTGTATGGAACTTTTATATATTTTTTAAAAATAAAGTTTACCTACCCTCATTTCAGCTGAGCGCATTTGCCGAAATGAATTATGGGTCAAATATTTTTGGTTCTATAACCAATTTAAAGGCTGAAGAATTCGTATTTCATGGGTTGGGTTCTCTTGACAAAAATAATGGGGAAATGGTAGTCAAAACATATAGTGTCGAATTCTCAAATCTGATTGGTTGACCTTGAGTTCGCTCTGAGGTCGACTCGACTGCTTCTGTGGCTCACGTTGACTTGACATGAAACCGAGTACACATTGAAAACCGATGGTTAATAAGGCGGTCTTCTTTTATAGTGTCAGTAGGTTTGGCTCATGTGAAATTCACATTTGTATTCAGCCTGTTTCTTCCTCTCCTATGCTCTCTTTCTCCGTTTCTCATTTCCCAACTCTTTCTCCCTTTCTTTCTTACCCTCTTTCTATCTCTCGTTTTCTCTGTCCTCTTCTTCATCTTTCTCCCTTTTTAGGGATCCCCTAATAACCATCCCCATTTCTTTCGCTCATTTGCTCTTTTTTCCTCATTTAGTAATTTTCTCCCGATATTTTTTATCTTACTGATGGAGAATGAGCCCACATACTACCTTGCCAGAGGTTGCTCCATAAAGGCACGTGTTCCCAACGATCACGTTTTCTTCTGCTTTAAACTGAGGGCCGTGTTTATGACTGGGATAAACGATCATGAGTCCACCTGAAAGACCCTGAAAAACAACACATAATAGTATTGACCTTTTGGGTTTCCTGTGGTAAGCTGAGAGTAGAAGACTTGACAGCCACAGGAATCCCAATCTATGTAATATTTTCCCATTTCACACAACGTGTCATTCCCTATAGTATCATTTCTTTTTCATAGCTGTAAGGCCTTTTCTGATTTCGATAAACAAGATGCATTGTGGTCTAGCTTGGGTACAACCAACACCATATAAGGTATGATGAACAAAAAGCGTTTGTACCCAAGCTAGACCACGATGCATCATGTTCGCTATCTCAGAAAAGGTCTATGAGAAGACACATGAATATGTATACAAAAAAAATCTTATTCTCAAGAAAACGACGCTTGTCTAAAATGGGAAAACATTTGGCCTAAGCTGAAGAGTTACCTTGCCAACGTAGTCATTAGCATCTCCTTCCAACTCAAGCGTGATGCCCTTCGATAAAAAAGCTCCAAAACTTTGACCTGAACAAAGATAAAAACACAAAGTTAARCAGTATTCTTTGGGGGAGGGGGTAAGAGGAAGTTTAGCATGACCTTAGAGGAGGGGCGTCAGGCCGCAATTTTCGACATAACAGTTGTTTAAAATAACAGGACATTATACCCCGTGGGTTAGGCGGTCAAGTAGATTTTGTGCCAAAACCTTGTTTTCCTTGGGGGGAAGGGTTATGGCTTACCTGCAGATCCTTTGACGTTAATATGAATTGAATCATCTGGAAGGCCTGCTTCGCCGTATCGTCTAAGAATAAGAATAAGAATGATAACAAAATCTAATAAAGATACAATATTTTTTTCTCCTAGTAAATAGACCTGTTTTAAGTTTCAAATTACCGCTGTGTTCCTTGATTACAGGCTCATTTGCACAGGGTTAGCCTCGTATCAGTGTCTAAATATTCACAAATACCAACGGTAAAGTAAAGGATGCACAACTTCAAACAATGAAAAACCTTTGAAATTCCACGGACCTTCATTGGAACACGTGAAATTTCTACACAAAATTGAGACTAACCCTGAGAACTGGAAACAGACCGTTTTCTCAAGGTTGTGCGCATACATATTTAAGGAACTTGACAGGCCACGATACAAGAACAGGAGCTTATAATAAGAATGATCATACATTTCTATGATTTTTTTTCGATAAGAATTCATAAAATTGAATATTCTCCCCTTTAAATATAAAACTGTCTTCTCAATTTTACTGAATTTGTGTTTTTTAATTTTGTGGATCGTCAAGTTGGATGCGCACGCTACCTTGAGGAAACGGTCTATTGGAAAAGTCATGAATATTTAATGAACTCACTTGGCCACGTAGTAGCTCAGAGTGGTGCCAAGTGCTCGGTCAGAGTTGACGATATTGAGATCCAATACGACCCTCTTTGATGAGCCGTTGATCACGTCTTGTGCCCTAGATATTAGATCATTATCCTGTGAATAACGAGAGATGAGAATCAGAAAGATTTCTTTCAAGACCTCCGTTAAACTTGCCAAACATTTACCGGTAGTTTAGCCCTGTTATCCCAGCACCCTGAGAGAGAAAGTACGATTGATAAAAGACAACTGAGAGAAGAAGAAAAAAGACTAAGACTATAATGAGTGGAGAGGAACAGGTTTTTAGGGGACATAAAAGAACCTGTTGGATTATTCGTGTAAGAGTAGAGGATTGTCTCCCGGTTTAACAGCCTATCCCTGTCTGGAGGCATAACACTAATGTACTAACACTCATGATTTCGTTTGTAGCGATCAAAATACTAAATCAAAACAATAAACGGAAAGAGCTAGTTTCCGCTCTTATCTATGCTCTAAGTTCCTATTTTCACTACGGTGTAAAACTTATCAATCTACGATAACTGTTATCTATGCTCTCTTGATTATGTAGATAAATCTAGTGACCGTAAGGACATTTAACTTTAAAAATTACTAGTCAATGTGTGATAGTCAAATAGACTCGAAAGAAAACATGGAATTAATGCCTACTAAAGTGTGTTAGTCAAATATCTATTCACGGGTTTAATTAATAAGGATTCCAGACAAGAGTTTGTCGTATGAAGAGTATTGAAAAAACTAGTCTCGGAATGAATTAACAGTTATCGCTGATTTTAACGGCTCTATATTTTTAGCCTGATATAATTCAATACAATTGCTTTAAGTCTCATTGTACACAGTATGGCTTATAGTTATTGTTGCACATAGTATAGACTTTAGCGTTGAGATTGATACAGTGTCGTAGGCGATGACAACTCAGGTTACATTTCGAATAATCATAAAAAATCGGCCAAGAATACCCTTCGAAGATTATACTTATTTATTTGCCTAGCGATTGTGGTAGTTGGAAGGACTGTGATGTTTCAACTGCTACTGCTAGTCTTCATCAGGTGATGGTGTAGACTAGAAGGTGGTCTTCTATATCCGTGTTGTTATGAACTAACAGATAACGTATAACTACTTTGTTTCAGTAGTATTGCATCGAGTACATTGTCTTCCGTCCAAGCTCTTTTTATGATTAGACAGTATAGACAAGAGCACCTCTTGAGACAAAACAAAACCGAATATTTCTCTTCGTTTTGGTTTCCATACACCGTATAATATACAACTGATATTGACACTTTTGTTATTAGCTATTCGATCAAGTCAAAACTCGAACATATTCGTGTTGGCCAAGAGTTTTAGAAATAACATCTAAAAACTACTTAGCTCCAGTAGTCTGATTGCATCGAGTGTATATGTTATTCCCGATTCTCTGAATTCAACATTCTGTTCTGAATTCAACATAACCTCATTCAATCATCACCGCTCTTAGCCGGAAAGCACGCTGAACTAAATCTCAAACGCCTTGAAGAAGTTCAACAATACATCACACAAGATGGCCTCAGTTATCCTTATCTTCTCTCTTATTTTTTGTGGCAGTTTAATGTTGGTGCCTTCCGATGTTTCTTGTAAGCCGGCACTTCGTTCGCTTCCAGGCAATGCTTTGACAACGAACGCTAAACCAATGGCAAAAAAAATCGAGGTTTCGCCTTGCACCTGGGAATACTGTCCAGACAGTCGCAAGAGACAGAGTGTCTCAGACTCTCTTCAGTAACAAGCTTCAAGTCAAGCAAACTGACTTAACCAGGTAAGTAAAAGTATTAAACCAGGTTTGAAAACGAATGAAAACGTATTTAACAATCAACAATCCTTGTAAGGTCTTCTTCTATGGGGTTCACTCCATGCTGACTACTATTACATTCACTATTTATAGAACATACAACGCTCAACGTACTACTGGTTATAATGGCCGACTACTTCGACGATACAGCGGCCATCTTTCCAGGGGAAAAAACAAAAATGACGGAAAATAAGTAGAGCCGCGTTTTGTGTGATTGTATCCCATAGTCAGATTTTTTAAAAATTTTGCATGATGAAAGAACATCATACTAGAAGTAAACTAAGCAAATAAAAAAATGGGGTCCTGGACTTAGTTTAGCCGTCAGAATACGTAGAAGTTAACCCTTTTTACGGTAAAAACACGCGAACAAGGTGAACATGAAAAAAGAAAACGGAATAGAAAAGGGGTGCCCCACTACTTTTTAGAGCTACAAGAGATTAACGACGTTTTTATGAGGTTTTGGTTATGAAAACATTGGAATAACGTCATCGCGATGAACGCTCGCTCGCTAAATTCATGCGTAGAAAGGATGCGCGCGAACAATGCCCGTGAACACCCTTAATTCATCTTTTATCGTACTCTCTTGTGGTGAGCTTTTAACGTCAATCGACATCATTACTGTAACGAATTTTATTTGCCCCGTGAATGTCCCATGATGCCTTGCGATCCAAGATAGTTGCCGTATCGTCGAAGGCAGTCGATTTACTATTTTTTTACAAAGGTGGGAAAGCCGGAGAACTTGGAGGAAAAACCTCGTAGGAAGGGAAAGAAAATCCATTTTTCCTGTTTAGTAGTATGCTTGGAATGATCTATCGACTATTAACAATCCACTTTGGCTCCAACGACCTTTCAGAAAAAGGTGTAAGCTCGGGAGGTTTGCATCACATGATTATTCGTCATTTTAGATCTCAAATGTCCATTTAACCCAAGTAAAACTGATGTACATTAGCAAGAGAATATTAATAATAACATTCTCTTGACACTAGTAAAACCAAGACTTTTCTACTACGTCACTAATCTATCCATTCCTCTTTTCTTTCTCAGATCCGATGCAAAAAATTTAACTTCATAAAAAGTTACATCGAAAAGATGGCTCTTTGGATTGTGCTTATTTAAAAGTAAATTTTAAACAACAAGATAGAATTTGCAGGAAATGTAAATTATGATATAAAATCAGTATGATAAATAAATTTGATGGCAACAGACTAGTTTTTCTTCCACTGAATTCCAATTGCAATTAGGAAGTTGATTTCTGCATTTCGTCCAATTAATTTTTCATTTCTCCTTCTCTTAATTCCCTTCAAACAATCATTTCCATACCACTTTTACCTTTGATCTTATTTTTCTCCTCATTCCTGTACTATTTTCCTTTATTTCATTTCATTTCTCAATTCCCTTCTATCCTTCCGTTTTTTATTCCCTTCATTCCATGTTTCTATAACCTTCCTCCCTCCCATTTCTTTTCATCCTCCCATTACATTCCCTTATTTCCATTCCTTCATTCCCTCTCATTCCATCCACTTCTCTTCTATCCTTGCATTCCCTTCCATCCTTCAATCTACTCACCTTCCTCTCATCTAGCTTGTGATCCTGTGGTTCGGTTCCAGCCCTGTGGTCGCCTGGACGAAGCTCATTGCTGTGAGTCAACATGCAGCTGAAGTCCAGTAACTACAAACAATTAAACAGAAGATAAAAAATGACCGTGAATCAAGGATACAATGGTGTAGTGACAGTGCAATTGCTTAACACAATCAAGTGACTTTTTGGAGTTGACTGGGGGGGGCAAACAAGCGGTTGAGTGAGGGGCAACTAGCGGATGTTAAGTCAAAAAACGAGTGTTCAATGCAAAATTGAGGCTAATCCCGCGTAAGCGAGTCTGTGTAGTCAAAGAAGGCCATGGTGTTTTATATACTACTGGTTTGTAAAAAGGTCAATAGAGGCTTTGAACCATCACGTGATGGCAGCCATGACAGGAGGCATGGCAATAGAGACTTTTTCCCCTGGGAAAGTGAATTCTTTCCCATGTAAATCAGATTCCTCCCTCCTGTCATGGCTGCCATCACGTGATGGTGCAAATGTTCTATTGGTTCAAGTACTCCTGTCTACACAAATGCTTTGCTCAGTCTCCGCGCGGTAGTTTAGCTCCCAGTTCCCCCTTTCGTTTCACGGGCAATCAAGGGCACAGCAATGCATTGCAATTGACTTACCTGTGTTTTGCGATTAAGAGCTTCGCCTGGGACCAGCAAGTCACATCGACCAATAATGTCATCCATTCGACGGTAACCAAGCTTAGCTAAGAACGAGCGAACCTGGAAACAAAACAAAAACAGTGACGTCAGCCTGGTCCACATGCCTTTTCATAGAAAGATACACCTTATGAAACCCGAAGAATCCACGAAGGTTTTCCGAGGGGCCAACGAAATATTTCCAAGGATTCTACGAAGATCGTTTTGTAGGAGAAGACGACGTACTTACCTCCTCTGCCAGCATRAATAAAAAGTTGACAACATACTCTGGTTTGCCATCGAACTTTTTTCGCAAAACAGGATCCTAAAAGCAAACAAAAACTGTAAGAAACCACTTTTTTGTGCGACGGACAGATACGCATCTTCTTCTACTATATTTACTTGGGTTGCTATGCCAACAGGGCAAGTATTAAGGTGACACTTTCGCATCATCGTGCATCCAAGAGCGATTAGAGGCGCAGTGGAGAAGCCGAACTCATCTGCACCAAGCAAAGCTGCTACAATGACATCTCTGCCAGTCCTCATCTGTCCATCAACCTGTCAATCAAATTAAATACCACGCCCAATTAAGAAATATTGACAGTGATTATTAATAATGATGATGGTGGTGGTAGTGGAGGTGATGGTCGATGGTGATAATGAATGATGGTGAAAAACAACGATGTCGATGATGGTGATGCATGATGGTGGTTATGATGGTGATGGTGATGATGATGAAGATGATGATGATGATGACACACAATTATGGTTGTGGTGTTGAACATGGTGTTGATAAAGAAAGTGACGATGGTTGTGGTGGTGAGTTAAGATAATGATTATGATGATGATGATGAAGATGATGCTAGCGACGATGATAATGATGAGGATGCAGATAATGACGGGAATGATTTATCGATTATAAAACTCACTTGGAGACAAACTCGACGGCGAAGGTCGTTCAAAACCAACGTTTGATGAGCTTCAGACAAACCCAGTTCCCATGGTAACCCAGCATGTTTGATACCCGACCACGTGCTAGCCCCAGTCCCTCCATCATGACCGGAAATGACGATATGTTCAGCATGGCCCTGATGAAAGAAAAGCGCAGGAAACCCAACGTTAGTTTTTTAAACTTTCCTTAAAAAGACTTTATGACAAGCACAACCTTAGGGTAAGTTTTCAGGACGTATAAACAGACAAAAAAGTATTTTCGTCTATGGTTACCTTGGCGACGCCGGAAGCAACAACACCGACTCCCACTTCTGACACCAACTTGACGCTGATGCGCGCATTAGCATTGAAGGACTTCAAGTTGTAAATGAGCTGAGAAAATAAAGTTAAGAATTATGTCATTAATCTACGATCCCATGGGAACTTAACGGTCCACGATACCAGAACAAGAGTATTATCATGCATTGCTATGAATTCTTTTTCATAAAATTCATAAAATCGATTATTCTCCTCCTTAAATATAAAACTGTTTTCTCAATTTTACTGAATTTGCGTTTTTCAGTTTTGTGGTCCGTYGAGCTGGATGCGCACGCAACCTTGAGAAAACTGCTTATTCAATGCCGGAGTTTGACATTCGTTCAACTACGTGTGGAAGCCGTAAAATTTCAGAAAACATTGTCTTCGCCACACTCGACTAGCCAATTTGGGGTTGAGGAAAATACCGAGTCAAGTTGGYATTGCAATGCATTGTGGGGTGTTTTAGAGAACATTTTCAAGATGGCGGCTGTTTCGTCCCCTAAATAGTCCCACAATGCACTGCGATGCGAACTCGACCCAGATATTTTTTAAACCTTGGAATGGCTAATATACTTTGGTAACACATGATAGTCTCAAAAAGTACTAAAGGGTTTGACTGTTAGTTCATGGCCAGACAAGAATTAAAATTTTACAAGATCAAAGATTCAACATTGTGTTCCAATTATATTTTTTTTAAAATCTTGATTTCTTGCAAAATTTCAACACCAATTTACTAGTTACGAATATTAAAATACGAATTGTAGGATAAAAGCTACAAATTCTGTGTAAAAAGATGTATACGATCCGCACGATCCACTTAACCGAAGTTCAGTCCAGTCCAGCTACGCTCGGTTCCKKATTTTCCAAAATATAAAAATCTCTCAAAATTCAGAATCTAGAGGCATAAATCAAATTTTAGAGGTTGGATATGTTTTTACTAGATATTAAGATTATTTATGACCTTTCAAAAGCTGAAAATTTGACTAAAAGTTTTTAAGGAATCCAACTGATCTAGTACACTGAAGTGCTGTCCAATTTTGGCAGTACCCGGAATACACTTTTATCCCTTTTTTATTCAAATTGGACAGCATGTAGTCCTATTAGCTATGATAAACTAAACATGGAAGTACAAGTATGATTTCGGGCATGGCTGAGAATTATACTACTATACAGAGCGACGTCATGTATTAATCTAATTTGAAACGCGCTGTAGGTAATATTTGTGGGTATGGGATAACTGACCTCGGCCAGGTCCTCGATTGAGTAGATATCGTGATGTGGAGGAGGGCTGATTAGACCAACCCCTGGTACAGATTTCCTTGTCTTGGCGATCTCACGGGTTACCTGTGATTAATGACAAATGGGAATTTGTTACTCGAACTGGGCTCCCTGTGGCAGAAGCAAAGAAATGCCAGTGAAAAATCAAATTCACTGCACATGATATATATAGAGGCCCCAGTAAAGGCTATAAAGATATGGCGATCCTTGAAAATGGACGACTTCAGTATCTCGCGAGTTTTCAAAGAGAGACGTTAGAAATTTTCCTCCTCAGATTTCGTTAAAGGAAAGAATTTTTTTACCTTATGACCAGGAAGCTCTCCTCCTTCCCCTGGTTTGGCTCCCTATTAACAAAAATTTAAAAAAAATTAAAATGTTTTCTTATGAGAAATAATTGTTAGAAGTTTCATACACAGTCCCTCTTCACCTCTATCAACACAGGAAGCCCACGGACCAAATGCTTTGTCTTATATTTACCTGCGCCATTTTGATTTGGAGTTCAGAAGTGTTGGCCAGGTACGTGGATGTAACTCCAAATCGACCAGATGCTATTTGCCTGATTGCTGATCGTGTGTTATTCTCCCCTTCACCACCCCTGTTGGGATCTTCACCACCTTCACCTGTGTTGCTCTTACCACCAATCCTGAAATAAGTTGAAGAAGTGAATGAATAAACAAACAAAAAGAGTGGATGGATGGATGGAAAGATGGATGGATGGATGGATGGATGGA